TAAGACTAAGACGGAATGCGTCGTTTCTTCGGATCCCTACAGTCACCATACGATACACAGCTGTATTAAGCTGCTATTTTACGCTGGTATTCTGTGAGAGCGTGGTCCTTCCCCGGTCGAGCCGACTTATTCGTGCAACAACTATAATATAGCTGCAGCGTGGCTCTACCACGTATAAATATTTTTATAGTTTTGATGTGTGGTGGTGGCGTACGACTCTCCTCCTTATTTCGTCCTTTGGGAGTCATCAGAGGCGACAATAGGAAATATGAAAAAAAACCTTATGGCATCCGCTAGATGTCGATACTATCTCTTACGCCATATCATATCTTTACGCCAAGCGTAGTCTAGACGGCTACGTCTAGTACAGCGACCGTATATCCGTTTGCCAGTTGTTATAAAAGAAACAAATCCTTACTCCAATGCGAGAGGACCATGTCCAGCTATGGTCTTTTACTGGCTGATGATGATGAAGTAGAACATTACTTTATCCGGAAAAAACTACATCATCATCATCATTACAGCCCTTTAAAGATCCACCGCTGAACATAGGCCTCCCCTAAGATGTGCCACAAAGCACAAGGAACAACATATTCTACAAAATTCAAAATCAAGATCAAGAAATATTTTTTTAATGTTATTACTATTATATACCCGTACTACCATTATCTCCTCTATAGTGGAGGCAGTATACATATATAAATTTCACAAGGACAAACATCCAGACCTGGAACAATTATTTGTAGGCCATACTACTACTTGTTCCTTGCGGGATCGAACCCGCGGCGCTCTGCGCTGCAACTCGATGCTAAGCCACTGCGCCACTAAGCTGAATTATTTTCACATAATAGCTTTAGAAGTCGGGACTTTTAATTCTTTTATATACTTACTTTACCACTGACTTCAGAAGCTATTATGTGCTTACTTCATTATTTTTAGTTTTAGAAGTCCTTTTTATTTTTTTACCAATCACTTTTTAAAATCTAAAGCTAGGCTATGAGAGTGGGTCGTCTCCAAAGGAGAAGGACCACGCTCTCACAGAATACCAGCGTATAACAGCAGTTTAATGCTGCTGTGTCCGTATGATGATTGTAGAGAACCTGAAACCCTTTTTTACTGTAAACGAGGCATTCTATCTTAGTCCTAAGAAGCGGCAACGCATTTCTATGAGTATTACATCAGATAATCAATCTTAATCGAGAAAAGATGTAGATGTTTATGGGCTGCAGCATCCGCTTGATTGGGTTCTAGTTTTTCGATTCGCGCCTGCAAACCCCAAAAAAATGTGGAATCTAAAGGTATCATTACAGCCCTTCACAAGTCCACTACTGAACATAGGCCTCCCCCAAGCAACGCCACAAAGCACGGTCCTGAGCCACCTGCATCCATCGACTTCCTGCATGTCTTACCAGGTCGTCACTCCATCTAGTGGGAGGTCGCCCTACACTACGCCTACCGGTACGAGGCTGCCACTCGAGAACCTTTCTTCCCCATCGGTTATCGGTTCTTCGAGCTATATGGCCGGCCCATTGCTACTTCAGCTTAGTAATCCGTTGGGCTATGTTGGTCACTCTGGTTTTACTGCGGATATCCTCATTTCTGAGTCTATCACGCAGAGAAACTCCGAGCATAGCCCTCTCCATAGCTCGCTGAGCGACCTTGAGCGTCCTCATACGGCCAGCAGTGAAGGACCACGTCTCTGATCCGTAAGTCATCACTGGCAACACGCCCTGGTTGTACACTTTAGTTTTCAGAGATTGAGGTATACCTGACGAGAAGATGTGTCGTAATTTCCCGCACGCTGCCCAGCCGAGCTGAATCCGTTGATTGACCTCTCGGTCGAAGTTGGACTTACCTAGTCGGACTATTTGTCCCAGATAAACGTACTCGTCAACAACTTCGAGCATAGTGCTCCCAACAACTACTGGCATAGGTGTGACATGGACATTGAACATGATCTTTGTTATGTCCATGTTCATCTTAAGACCTATCCGTTGGGAGACACCATTGAGGTCATTGAGCATAGTGCTAAGGTCCTCCAGCGATTCTGCCATAAGGACTATATCGTCGGCAAATCGAAGGTGAGTGATGTACTCGCCATTGATGTTAATACCGTATCCTTTCCAGTCCAGTAGCTTGAAAACGTCTTCCAACGCAGCGGTGAAGAGTTTCGGGGATATAACGTTTCGAACTCTGGTCCTATACTTGGATAGCCATCGTAGCCCTACTGTACAAACACTCTTCAGCACTTCGATATAACGACAGTCAACTTGGCACCACTGAAGGGACTGTAGCACCGCCCAAATTTCAACGGAATCAAAGGCTTTCTCATAGTCCACATATGCCAGGCAAAGTGGCAGATTGTACTCTTCGGCACATTGTTTAAAATAATTAAATTATTTTTAGTAATTTACAGTATACTAGTTTACAGTTTTTGGTATTTTTTTGCACTTAAGTACATAAATAGTAGGTTTAATTCACCTTAATGGTTATGCTGTGATAAAGATAATGCTCACGACACACCAGAAGTTAAGTTTTCAAGCTGAGTTAGCAAATATTAAAAAAGCTACAACAATACAATTGAAACTGGTAAAAGAGATGTAGGTATCACTATCTAGCTGCGTAGTAATTTACCTTATAAAATATTCATTATTGCTGCACCGCCTCCTATATATCTCTGATTAGTCTAATGGTTGACTGGGATAGAATATCCTATAGAATTTTTGTGCATGAAAGTGTAAATAAATACAATATTCGAAACGTGATTTATGCGAGAGTGGAATTGAATAGCGGACGTAACTGACGCGATGAGCTACGAGCAGTGTTACAAATGTTGTGTCTGTATCTTGAAGAAATAAATTACACTTGAAGATTTTCGATTTAAAAACTTTTGAAGGGAAAGCTTCTTTCGATGCGTTGGGTACTTTTGGGATGGTGAAAAAGCATTGAACTTGCGTGACCGTCAAAATTTTCTATTATAGGAAAAGGGTGACAAGCGAGCACACAGTCCACCTGATGGTAAGTGGTATCTGTGCCCAATAGACATCTACATCTATTCTCGTTTGCGAATCAAAATGCAGATGCGTTGTCAACCTTGAGGACTAAAATGGAATGCTTATTTTCCAGTAAGAAGGGTCTCCGGTCCTCTATACGAAACACAGCAGCATTAAGCTGCTATTTGACGCTGGTATTCTGTGAGAGCGCGGTCCTTCCCCGGTCGAGCTGACCCATTCGTGCTACAACTATACAATTAATATAGCTGCAGCATGGCTCTACCACGTAAAAAACGCTCAGATACAATTCAATAATAATAATTATTTTTTCTGTAAAACAAGACAATAAATGAATTTTTTTTTTCTAACATAGTACCTATGACCTAAAGTCGGTCAACAAAGTCGATCTTTAAATGAAAATATAAATATACTACATTAACTTATTTGTTTGAATTGGATTAATGATATATTATTATACCCTTACCCGTTACAGCATATCAAGAGTCCACACGTGACCACATTTTGTCGCTGCGATGTGGTGTGGTTGTGGTACGTGGCTCGACCCTTAATAGCGTACTAATGAACCAACATTTTAATATTACAGGCAGACGCCACAATTATATTTATTGCTAAAAATGTACAACGACAAACATCCAGACCCGGAACAATTACTTGTAGGTCATTTTAATACATGTTCCGTGCGGCATTCGAATCCGCGGCCCTGAGCGCAGTAACTCATTGCTAAGCCACTGCTCTACGGAGTAGTCAAAACTTCGATCATATTTAAATCCATGAGTGAAGATAAGACATCCTTTTAACGATAAAAGTACAAGGTGTAACCATGGCTGACAGGCGTAAATTTATTATCGTCCGAGATAAGTTCTTCGATCGGCGCATCCTGTCGAAATAATAATAATAATAATAATTTCTTTATTTGACACTTATATTTCATACAACATCATTGAGCCCTGACTCCCAAACTAGGATACCCTGTATTTCAGGAGTCAGTTCCTTCCCATTCAGTAACTCTTTGTGTCAAAATACATTAGAGAAATGTTGATATATATTTAATAGGTACACAGTTAACACTCTATACATGTGTGTGTGTACTTATGTGTATACGTGTGTACGTATACTTTCTTGTGCACACTGTTTTATTTAGAATATTATATAACTTGGAAGCTACGTAATTATAATTCCTTTTGCCGAATATGGATTTAACTTTGGGGATATTTATACGTACAGTTCTTTTTGAATTTAGTATTTGCGGAACACTACATCTATGAAAGCGTCTAAGACATTGATATATAAATAATTTGCGAACACTTAGTACATCAGTTAACGTATATACCATTTCTGTCGAATATCTATAAGGAAGTGAAAGTATTACTTTTAGTACAGCCCTTTGAGCTCGCTCTAATTCTATAAGATGTGTTTTAGCAGCGTATCCCCAAGAACATATGCAATAACTGATAACGCTTTGGCACAAAGCTTTGTACGTTTATAGTAGTAGATTTCTGTTTGCAACTATTTTGAACTTCTTAAAGACATAGATAAACTTTCTGATTTTGTTAGATATAAATGAAATATGTGGAGCCCAATTAAGCTTATCATCAACAATTATACCGAGATATCGAATTGTGTCAGCTTTACTTAGAGTGGGACACTCACATGCCGAATGAGTGTTAAAGTTTCTATTACAAGGATGCGTGTGAATTATTATTTTAAATTCGTTTCGTGGATTACAAGCAGCGGTTTTTGAAAAACATAGAAATTTTGTTTTAGTGGTGTTTAATGTAAGCAGGTTATCTTCCAGCCAACTAGTAACCTTACACAGTCCTTCCTCAGTAGATACTTATATGTTAGTTTGCTTAAAGAAAATTTTAATGGATATAATGGATATAATACCGACGATTTAATGGATATAAAAGGATAAGTTATTTTTGAAAGTGGCTTCTCAAAAAACGCAGCATATCAAGGGTTTCATCTGATAGACGACTCCTGATTTTACAGGCCAAGTACCCCCGCGGCCGAAAATGCTCTTTCTGCCTCTACACTAGTCTGAACCACATTCGACAAACAGTTGTGTACAAACTCAAGGAGTTCACCTTTAACCCCTCCAGCTTCATGCAAATTCATCTCTTTTTTAATGAGTATCTCCAACTCCAATGAATTTGCAGAATTTGTTGAACGATTGGGCTTTTTCAATGCTGCCAACGATTCTTGTAGCTCCTCTTGAAGGGAAATACTTTTCTCAAATCTCATCAGCTCAATCTCGCATTCTCGCGAGATCTCGTACAAAAATTGAACGAGACTCAGTCTTGCAAAATATGGACGAGATCTCGCGAGATCCGGATATCAGATTGCATTCCCTAGTGACGACGCATCTGTACTTTTTTTTTGCGTCAAGCTAGCTGCAAGGTGTCCGTGGACTACAGTAGTCTCTAACGATCAGGTGCAGAAAGAGTTCACTTGTCCATTCAGTTTTTTAAAAAAAACTTATAATTGTTGTTTTTCTTAGGTTGTGCTTGTGTCAGGAGTTCTTGTACACGCAGCTATTATACCTTGTTATTAAAAAGATATATCAACTAATAAACATTTATTAAATTTCTACATAATCTAGTTTCAATAACAGCCAATTTCATTAGAGTAATTACTTGATGAATATTCCTACAACTAAACCACAGAAATACGAAATAATTATTGACAACATGCATCTCCTCATAAAGAAAGCATTATTTCATTTAGCGATTGATGCTGATGTAAGTATAGGCAATTTATTAATGAACATTTTGATCTATTTAATTTTTTCGAAGGACCAAAATTCGATTTTATAAAGTAAATATTTTAAAATTTGGGCGTATTTCTTACACGATAATATTACATTTGTTGCGAGAGCACGTGGAATATACTCAAAGACGTGGAATGCATGGGACCGAACGCTCAAGGTCGTGCGCTTGGAGTAACGTCTTAATTTTATTAAGATCTGATTGAGGTAAGCATATGAGTTTATATATTCGTTGTTTTATATTCGATGTATTTAAACCAAATAAAACCTTTAATAAACCATAACGCTAGTAGTTTTATTTTAATTTTGTCCAAAACCTCACTTATTATATAATAAAAGAGATATTATTATTCAAGTATCCGAGTATAGACGTATAGACTTAATGATTTCTTATATTTACGCGAACACTACACATTGAAATAATACTAGTTTTTACGGAATTTATCGCGTATATTTAACTTTTTAAATACCCGACGTTTCGAACGCTTTACAGCACTCATGGTCACGGGCAGGACTGAGATGTTCAACGTCCATATGTCATAGTTAACCGCGGTTACCGTAGATTAAAATTTAACTTTTGTTCCGATCTATGCAGTATGAACTTATGGTATCTTGAAGTCTTGCAGTTGTATGCTTGGGTTGGGATTTAATTTTATTTACTAGGTGGATTGAAAAGTACTCGGCCTAACACAGATCCATTCAATTCTAAAAATCAAATCTACCCACATTATTTAGTTCAGTTCAGACTAGTTCACTGTGTGAAGTTCAAAACGTGTGCGATAATTAGTTGTGATTTTATAAATTTATTAACAAAGTAATCGGACATAATTTCCGCGAATGGAGCAAATCGAGCAGCGTGCCGTCATTAAGTACCTCCATAAGAAGGGGCTATCATCAAAAGCCATCCATGATGACATGGTCAGTACATTAGGCGATTGTGCTCTGTCATATTCATCCATCAAAAAATGGATAGCAGAATTTAAGCGTGGTAGAGAGAGTGTGAAAGATGAACCCCGCTTTGGAAGGCCTTCGACGTCAACTACCGACGAAAATATTAAAAAAAGTACTTGATTTAATAATGGGAGACCGCAGATTAAAAATTAGAGAAATAGCCGAGATTATAGGCATCTCTTATGAACGAACTCAAAAAATCATTGTCAACGAGTTGGGTTTCCACAAGGTGTCTGCGAGGTGGGTTCCGCGACTGCTTTCAGTTGAACAAAAAAGGACGCGATTGACTATTTCACGCGACTGTTTGGAGTTATTTGAAGCCGATGCAGATGATTTTTTGAATAGTTTTGTTACTATGGACGAAACATGGGTTCATTACTGTACACCGGAAACAAAACAACAATCAAAACAGTGGAGAAGACCTGGTTCACCACCCCCTAAAAAAGGCTAAGTCGATTTTGTCGGCAAATAAGGTGATGGCTTCAGTATTCTGGGACTCGAAAGGTGTGATTATGATTGATTATCTTGAAAGGGGTCAGACTATAAACTCTGATTACTACTGCACCTTACTACGTCGTTTACGAGAGGAAATAAAAGAAAAACGTCGAGGAATGCTCAGAAGAAAAGTCCTGTTTCATCAAGATAACGCCCGTGTTCACACGTCAGTACAGTCAATGGCTGAAATTCACAACTGTGGCTTTGAACTGTTACCGCATCCGCCGTATTCACCTGATCTGGCACCATCAGACTTCTTTCTGTTCCCTAACCTAAAAAAGCACTTGGGAGGTCAAAGATTTCGACAAACGACGAGGTCAAAGCAGCTGTAGACGCATATTTTGACTCTGAGGAAGAATCATTTTTTTTCAACGGTCTAAATGCTTGGAAGGGGAGGTGACAAAAGTGTATTGAACTTGATGGTGATTATGTAGAAAAATAAAAATATAACTGATTTAGTATGTTTTTATTTTCTTGGTTAGGCCGAGTACTTTTCAATCCACCCTCGTATTATAGGATCCCAAGCAGATGGTAGCACCCGGCCATCTTCTCTATTGAAATAAGAATGTTTTTTGATTTCAATAGCCTCGCGAATCATCCTTGGAAGGAATCGATGTTCTTTAGCGAGGATCTGCGGTCTATCAAATCTGATGTAGTGACGGGGGCGATCCTGTACTTGTTCACAGACTGCAGACTTCCCGGAGGGTCGATTCTTCACATCAGCTATATGTTCTTTAACGCGGGTTTTTATTGATCTTTTAGTTTGTCCTATGTAGGAGAGACCACATTCAAAATCAAGCTTGTACACTCCTGCATCTTGCAGAGGGACATTACACTTGACCGATGGTAAAAATGACCAATCTTCTTCAGCGGCTTGAAGTATGTTTTGATGGAAGCGCGCTTCAAGATGTAGCCAATCTTGTCAGTGACTCCTCTAACATATGGCAGTACAGCAGGTACACGCTCGACTGTGGCCGGCTTCACTCGTTCACTGTGACGTAGGCGCGGGACTCGAAGCTTGTTGTCATGCAAAACTTGCTTGACATAGTGGAGCTCTGCAGCCAGGTGTTTACTGTCACAGATCCCTCGTGCTCTCTGAAACAAAGATTTACCCACGGTAGCTAACTGTGAAGGATGGTGGTGAGAATCACCGTTTAAATATCTATCTGTATGGGTCTTTTTTTCTATACACAGTATGGCTCAAGTTCGGAACAAAAGTTAAATTTTAATCTATGGTAACCGCAGTTAACTATGACATATGGACGTTGAACATCTCAGTCCTGCCCGTGACCATGAGTGCTGTAAAGCGTTCGAAACGTCGGGTATTTAAAAAGTTAAATATACGCGATAAATTCCGCAAAAAACTAGTATTATTTCAACGTATAGACTTGATTAAAGTGAAACGTGTGGTTGACTAAGTTAGCATTTAGAGTTTGTCTTAGATAGGTATCACTTTAGGAAAAAGGTTACAAGCAAAAAGGATCTCCGGTTATCTACACTCACTAGACACACACTCAATGATGCTAAGTTGCTATTTCATGCTGGTATTCTGTGAGATCGTAGTCCGTATCCAGTCGATCAATTCGTGCTACAGCCATAGTACCTAGGCTGCACTAAAAGTATCGGGAATGGAATATTTCCACTGTTCCTGTCATATTAAAATCTTTTTAATTGAAAACTCCTTGGTTTTAAAAATCGAATACCATTTATTTATTTAACATAAGATTCTCGGTCTTGTCACAAGGTTTTGTCAAACTTGTTTAGTCTTTGAGAAAATGGAATTGACTCGAGAAAATTCAAGAGCGATGATTTATTATGACTTTCGAAGTGGTTTTACACAAAAACAGTGTATTGACCGGATGATTTCTGCATTTGGTGATGAAGCCCCATCTAAAACCACAATTTATCGCTGGTTTGCTGAATTTCAACGTGGACGTGTCAAGCTCAGTGATGATCCCCGTCAAGGTCGTCCAAAAACTGCAGTCACCCAAGAAAACGTTGATGCTGTGTGTAAGCTGATTGAGAAAGATCGACATGTGACATAACGCGAAATTCAGGCAACTTTAGACATTGGCATGAGTCAAATACAAATAATCTTGCATGAACAATTAGGTGTAAAAAAAGTTGTTTTCCCGATGGATACCGCATTCGCTCTGTGAAGAGCAAAAAGTGTTGGTGCGTCAGAACTCTCAAAAGATTCGCAGTATCCTCAAATGGCTGTATGCAACATCGTATCAGGTGACGAATCCTGGATATACGCGTACGAACCCGAAACAAAAAACCAGTCACGAGTTTGGGTGTTCGAAAATGAGTTAAAGCCAATAAAAATTGTTCGATCACGGAGTGTTGCAAAAAAAATGGTGGCCACGTTTGTCTCCAAAATCGGCCATGTTACGACTATTCCTCTTGAGAGACAAAGAACGGTTAATGCAAAATGGTATGCTAGCATTTGTTTGTCACAGGCCGTTTCTGAACTCCGTAAAGAGAACTGCAACCGCCGCATCATCCTCCATCACGACAATGCGAGTTCTCACAACGCACACAGAACAAAAGAGTTTTTAGAGCAAGAAAACATAAAACTATTAGACCATCCGCCGTACAGCCCCGACCTAAGCCCTAATGATTTCTATACTTTCGGTATTTCTACACTTACCGTCAGGTGGACTGTGTGCTCGTTTGTCACCGTATTCTATAAAAAAATATTCTTACATTGTCATTACACGGTGAATAAAGCTTATATTTTACATAAACTTATAAATTGGTTTCTTTAATATTTTAGTTAATAACCCTGACCAAAAAAAAAATTAAATAATTGAATCGACATTAATATATTTTTTATAGCGTTGGGTGATAAACGAGCACACAGTCCACCTGATGGTAAGTAGATGCTGTAGTCTATAGACACGTATTTACATCAAAATGTAAATACGTTGTCACCCTTGAAGACTAAGATGGAATGCCTCGATTCCAGTAAAAAAGGGTTACCGGTGCTCTACACTCACAATACGAAACTTAGCAGCATCACGCAACT